CATCTCTCAGTCCTGTGCCCTTCTAGGTAGGTGCAGAAGTCAATGAAAATTTCCTGCAGCTGAGTCACAGGCTCAGAAAGGTCATCTGGGGGATAACGTAACTCTAAGAAAATGAAAGCACTTTTTATTTTTTAAATTTCATTTCTCCGCTGTTGTGAGAGACGAGGAAGGAGGGGGCGGTGCAAACCAGCCAGGCCTGACAGGATGAATCATTTCCGACCATTTTCCACCAAGGAATTTTTAGGCAGAGCTGGCACCAGCAGGGCTGTCTGGGGGCTGCTCCTCTGGAGTTTTTGGGTGCCCCTGGGCTGTGGGTGGCACACGCTCCCTGGCTTTGCTGGTGTTGGTGTCTGGTGCAGGGAAGGACCTTGTGCCAAGGGTGTCCCTCCACACACCTTCCCCTGGAGCTCCATGGGCTGCCTCAGGGGAAGAGTTTGGTCCAGGGGATAACAAATGCCACGTCTGTTCTGCTCAGGGGGATGAGAGTTGCAGTCTGCACCTGGTGTGAAAGGTGCATGTCCTGCCTTGATGCTTCCCCACAGCCCACAGGAGATGGGGGATCCATGGTCATGAAGGGCTCTCTCAGCCCTTACTAGCCCACATCTTTCATCTCCAGCTCCACAACATCTCCACCAAGTCATTAGCAGCTGCTTTGTGAGAAGGAGAAGTCCCTGGGTCTCCTCACAGACTCACCTTCATGTCCGCACACCAAATGTCAGGCCTTGAGGGCACTAATTGGCCATAATCATCCTGGCCAGCCTCATCTGTGGCTGCACAACACCTCTCAATCCTCTGCCCAAGCCTCAGGAGCCCCATCTAAGCTCAGCTCTGAGTCTCTGCTTCCTGCTGTGTTGTGAGTGCTGCTCTGCTGCCCTGGCTCTGATCCAGTCTCTTGGGCAGACCGTGGGTACCTTGTCTCCTGGCTGGATGGATCCCTGTTTCTGTCCCCATCCCTGTTACTGCTGAGGAGATTCCCCCAGCCTTCCCAAATGGATTCTGGGTTTGGTTCCTTGCCTTGGTGTGCCTGGGGCCACTGCTGGAGGCTCTGGGCCCTGTGCTCAGACCCTGGGGCTGTCACCTCGCTGGTGAGGACCCTGCCAGTGCTGGGGCCACCCTTGGCTCCTGCCATGTCCCCTCCCACTGCTCCTGCCAGGGAGACACCTCTGCCATTATCTCCTCCAAGCTCTGACTTCTCCCCAGGGTGGTGTGTGAGGTGAAGAAGAGAAGATGCCACATCCATCCTCTCTGGTTTGGGCTGTGATTTATGACAGGCCTCAGCACGGTTGCTCTCCTGTGAAATGTTGCACACAAGAGCTCTCATGCTTGGGGCAGCCTCTGGTGATGCACCATCACTTTCACCTGCTGGCTCAGCACAAGGCAGGATAAACAGGGTAAACAGCCTCAGTTCTGCTGCGTGGCTGTGGTTCTGCTGGGCTTTGTGTGCTTGATCTCCCCTTCTATGAGAATTGTGTCCCTGTTGGTGTCACTGCAGGGGCTGCTCTTGTTGCTGAAGTCCCCTGGGTAACGCAGAGGTTGTTGGGACCTCTCTGGTGACTGTCACGGGTGATGGAGGAAGGCTCATTTCTTAAAACTTCAGAATTAACCCTGGAATTCTGCCACAAACCAAATCATTTAATAAAGAAGAAGATATAAGTGAGAGTCACCTCCAAGGAGGGATGTGATGTCAGCTTGCTGACTCTGGCCATAACCCCATCATAAACACATTTCCATTACAACATCTAGGTGCCTTAACGTGTCTTGCTCATCACATTCATTAACTGCATTTATTTTTCTGATTGCTGGGGTTTTATTCTAATCAAACACTAAGGAGCAGATAAATTCATAATTTGTTCTAGTGCCATCTTGAAATTATCAGGACTAACTCTGTTCAGAATTAAATCACTAAAAATTAGACTGGAATTGCTTCCATGTCCTTTTTTTTTTTTTTTTTTTTTTTTTTTGTTATCTCAGCTGTGCTTTAAAAGCTGAGCTGAATCATCTGTCTGCTGCTTCCTTAAACTCAAGGAGCTCTAAAAGGCTCAAGGTTGAAAAAAGGAGCCTGAAGTCCCCATTAAGCATCATTTCCCCTGATTGCTACCCCACACAGAAGCCTCTCCAGCACAGAGTCTCCCTCACACCCCAGGTCCATCAGTGACTTCACCCTGAGGTAGCTGGTTGACTTCACTGGATAAAAATGGAAAAATATTTCATATTTAGTGTGTTTGAGGAAGCTGACATCAGATCTATTATTTCATCTTCCCTAGCAAGATAAGGGCACTTCCAGTTTCAGGGGCAGGTGCCTCTTCTTGGCTGTATTTGTGAGGGTCCCCTGCATGCCCATGGTGAGTTCCTCCTGCTCTGTCCCTGTGGACTGTCAGTGTTGTGATGCTCGACTGGTGGGAAGAATGATGATGATGAGCAGAACTCCATGGTATCAGAAGGTTTATGAATTGCTTTATAATACTATAACTATTACACTAATAAGAACTATATAATTTCTGACAAAAATTTGTGACTCTCTGCTGATAGTCCTGACAACAGATGTGTCTTAATTGGTCAATCAATTTAAAACACCATCACTACAATCTAATCAAGTAATTACCTCGGGTCAGCAATCTCTATGACACATTCCACATGTGCACAACAAGGAGCAGCAGCGAGATAAGAATTGTTTTGATCATTCTTTTCTCTGTTTGTCTCTCAGTAAAAATCCTGAGGAAGCTAAGTCTGTCTCTGTTCAGAGGATGTGTGAATAGCACATGTGAGTGCCCAGTGAGTGCAGACAGAACCTGGGGAAGGGCTCCTGGACTGAGCCTTCCTGCAGCCTCCGTGCCTCCTGACTCCAGGCAGAGCTTCCCGCACAGGAACTCAGATCACCAACTTATAGCACTTGGGAGTCCCCAGTGTCTCTCTGTAGGAAGCAGACTTTGGAAGGGATGCTCATTTTTCTAATTTTAGAGTGCTTTTCCAGGCTGTTGGACATGCCAGGGCTGTTCCTGGAATCACAGGGATTTTGGGAAGGAAGAAGAGAATCACCTTTAGTTGGTGATTGTGTCCTGAGTCGAACAGGGCTTCACTACGGAGCTGTGGAGACCCTGGAGGGAGCACCCCAAAGAACTGTGAAGGAGCTTTACCGGCAGAAAGGGCAAAGAGGATTTAAAGAAGCCAAATAAGGATGTCTCATCTTGGAAATGGAAACTATTCAAAGTGACTGAGTAGAACAGAAGAAATCAGGGAAAACTTACTCCAAACCCTCTTTGGGGACAGGTTTCAGGCACTGAGTGATGCCCCTTTTCTCCTGCCTTGCAGCCCAGCTGCTCTTGCCGTGCCTTCCCAAGTGCAGGATGTCTGTGCTTGTTTTCCAGCACAGCTGAAACCACTGAGACCCCAAACCCAGCTCAGGGCTGTTCTGCCCTGCTCCCTTGTCCCCTCACAGGCACCATTGCTGGCAAAGCTGCATCTGATGGGTTCCCTCGGCCTCCCTTCACCTCTTCCTGCAGAATAACAAGATTCTGCTCATTTTTTGTGTAAACAAGCACATTCTCCAGAGTCAATTCAAATGAAAGAAAAACTTGGGCTGGCAGGGGGGCTTTCCAGCACTTAACAATTCCTGCTTGCACATCAGCCTTTCCCTTTCCTAAGTGTAAAAGAAGAAACATTAAAAGTTCTCCAGGGAGTTGTGAATCATCTGGCTTCCACAGACATGGTTTCAAATCCTGAGAAAAGGGAAGCAGAGCATCCTAGGCCAGATCTTTGGCCAGAAAAAGAAACACAGATCTGCAGGAGCTTCTGAAGGTCTATCCAGAGCAGTGGATCTTGAGCCTCCATCAGCAGGAAATGTGTCTGACAAAGCTGGGCTTGGGGAGAACTGAGCATGACCAGAGCAGTTCTCAGCATTGGGTGGTTTTTATCCCAAATATTTTAGAAGGCATCCAGAGATGACAGTCCCAGGCACAACATCCTGCTCCAGAGAGTGACTGGAGGTGCCAGTGTGAAGAAGGGCTTGAGGTGGCCCCTTGGGTAGTTCACAGGGAGTGAGGGAGGACTGTGGTGCCAAGGGATCTGCATGGGAGCCCACTGCTCCATGCATCCCCTTAGAGTCTGGCTAAAAGGAGAGAAAGGTGAAAAAAGTGTCCGAGCTGAGCAAGGACCTACAGAGGGGCTCCTGAGACCTTCAGAAGATCTGAAGGGGAGCCCAGCACAAGGGGGGAGAACTGTCCCCCAGGTTAACACAGAGGGGCTGACCCCTTTCAGCAGGTCCCTGCAGGGTCTGGGATGCCTCAAGGCTGTGGAGGGAAGAAGGTGATGAAAAGACACCCAAAATCTTTGAACAGTAACTTTTCCATTCATTCTCCTCAGCCTGGTGCTGACTCCTGCCCTGCCCTGAAGCCAGGGCTAAGCCAACCTGTCCACAAGGAAAGGCTCAGCTACACCCCACCTCACTGCCCAGTTACAAACAGGGATTTTTGGTGGAAAACTTGGGTTCCTCTCCATAGTACCAACATGGAATGTGATAAAATTTCTGCTGGTATTTGCCATCTTGCCACTTTCAAGCCACAGGGGGCTGGTGGCAGCAGCAGTCACAGCAGTCACTGTGCTTCTGTTGAATGCTTTCCAGGATTCACAAGCCATCCAGGCATCTCCAGCACATTTGTATTGGCTCTGGGCTGAGTGACCTTGCATGGAACACCAAGCTTTGCCTTTCCTATGGCTATGAACTCCTCTCTGAAGGCCCAGGATCTCTTGAGTTTACATCTGCAGAGAGGAGGATTTCACTTCCTTTGTGACTTTCCCTGTGTGGGTGAACAGAGAAGTTGACACAATTTACTTAGTCTTTCCAGGTATTGTCTGTCTGTAACCCTAATGGTCCCATGTGATATGGAAATCCCCAGGGGCAAAGAAGCAGTAGTTTATCCTTGAATCAAGAACCTGACTAGGAAATTATTAGGAAAGGGGATGACTGGGGAGGAGCAGAGAGGATATATTGCAGCAGCTCCTCGCCTGAGCACAGAGTTGAGCTCTCCCAACGAGGCAGAGCAGCATCCTGCAAGGAAGAGCCCTGCCAAAGCCACCATGCTCACCTCAAGGACAGCCGTGCTGCTCCTTGGGCTCCTCACCCTCTCGCCACGCTCCGATGCAGGTAAAAGCACCTCGTGGGCCACTGCTGCTGGCTGGGACCTGGGGCTGTCCCACCGGGGTGGGCAGGAAGGAAACCCCAGTGTGGAGCAGGGATGCTGCTGCTGGCAGGAGGAGCAACCTGGCCAGGGCAGAGCAACACATCCTGGGGTGCAGGGAGGGCTGCAGACTGCTCCTGGGGCTGGGTGGCTGTGGCAGGGCTGCTGCAGGGCTGGGTGATAACCTGGAGCATCCTCCTGCCCTGGGAAGGAAGGAGAAGGACACCTGGGGCTCCTCATGGCAGCATTTGCAGAGCTTGGGGGATGTTGTGTTCATCAGCCCTGTCCTGGGGGAAGGTCCTGAAGAGAAGCTGCCTCCAGAGCCAGCCTGACCATGCCTCTCTGTTTCCTGCAGCCCCTTACTCTCCAGCCGAGTGCTGCTTCGACTACGTAAAGGGCGTTCTCCGGCTGGAAATCCTCGTGGGCTTCTACTCAACTTCCAAGGAATGTTTTTTGCCAGCAATTGTGTAAGTGCTGGTAACTTCCCTACTGCTGTGTTGTCTCCTGGGCTGTCATGGGTTCAGCTCATCTGTTCCATCTGGGGACAAGACAGGGACAGGCCTGTGTCACCTCCATGATCTTCCAGCACGAAGAGGGGAGGACGTGACTGCCTGGGCACTTCTACAAGGCCCTTGCAGCTCTGAAGGCTCTGCTCAGGCTCCAGAGCTGCTGGGCTGCAGGATGAGCTGCTTGTAGGACACCAGGAACCCAGGGGAGGCACAGGGATGAAGGGAAAGGAGAAAGGGGAGGGAGGATGGTGTGGGTGTAAGTGGAATCACAGATGTCTTTCCTCACCAAGCTCCACCTTTAACCGTGGCAGGTTTGACACCAAGAAAAAAGCCAAGATCTGTGCAAACCCAGAGGAGAAATGGGTGAAGAGAGCAGTTAGAGTGCTTCTAAAGAAGAAAGGACTTCATGCCCCGTGATGTGGAGTGGGTGCCCTGGTTCAGGCTACCCAACATCCCGGTGGGACGGAAGGTCTGCGGTCGCCCTCCCAGAAGGACTTCAGGATGTTCAGCTCCTGGGAGAGGACACTGAGTCCCCAGAGCCCTGAGCTGCATCCACAGCTGGGCACCAGCTCCTGGAGTGCTGCTGGCCCAGCTGCACCTGCCTGCTGATCACAGCCACAAAATAAAGGTTACTCCATGTGGTATGGGACAGTGGTGTCCTTTCCTCCCCCAGCCCCAGAGCTGTGCTGCTGCCAGAGCTGGGCTGGGATGGCAGCTCTGCCCACCGCCTCTCAGGGCAGGAAGGGAGGGGGTGGATGGGACTCCAAGGGGACTCTAAAGGGGCTGGAGACTCCTCTGAGGGTTTTTAGGTGCAAAACTGCCATCGGTTTCAGGCTTGGAGGTTTCAGCCTGTCCCATTTGCTGTCCTGTGGAGGAGCACAGCCTGTCTACCACGTGTGCCCAGGCCTGTGGTGTCTCAGCTGGGCTGCAGAGGAAGGGTTTCTCTGCAGAGCTCCCTGGGCAGGAAGGACACACAGGAGAGGCTGGATCAGACAAGGGATTCCTGCACATACAGCCCTGGAAATTTTGCCCCTGCCAGGGGCCGTGGAAATCTCAGCAGTGATCCTTGCCAGGGCTTTGGGAGGGGGAGCAGAACTGGAAGGGCAAGAGTGAGGAAAGTCATGAGTTAAAGACAGTTTAATAAATAAAGCAAATCTGGCACACAAATAAAGCAAAGCAAGAGATGAATTCTCTCCTTCCCATGGGTGGGTAGGTGTTCAGCCATGGGGAGCAGAGCAGGACTCCTTCATGGGTAACAGTGACCTGAGAAGACAAATGCTGCAACTCTGAATGTCCCTCTACTTCCTCCTTCTTTCCCTGTGACAGCCCAGTAAGGGGGAAAGGAAAGGAGAACAGTGAAAAAAATAAACCTTCCCAAAAAGCTCCACCAAGTGATAAAGAAACCATCGCTTGCCACCAGCCCAGATGATGCTCCTGGGGAAGGGGATTTTGGCAGCAGCAGCTCCAGGGATATTTTCCCAGCAGAGGCAAAACCCATCCAGAGCTGAGGGGTGGTGCTGACACGCTGCAGGTCTGGAACCTGAGGTGTCACAGGCACCAAGGAGGTGGAGAACTCTGGGTGCACCAGGAGAGGCTTCAGCCTGCAGAAGCCTCTTCAGCTGCTGCCTTTCCACTTCAGGGGTCACTGCTTGGACTTGGTGCCCTCTCCTGCTGGGATGCAGCCCAGACCTCGGGGCTCTGGGTGGGGCAGGTCCAGCTGGACACCAGCATTTATCATGGACAAGCAGTTCATGTTCTCCGTTAAAGTATTAGATTTTGTGATTATCCACTCAAAACCCAAAGCATTTTATGAGGAGTCAGAGAATATTTCCCACCTCTATGGTGCTTTTTTTTTTTCTTTTTGGTCCATGCCTATCCATTTTAATTTCGAAAGCAGGGGCTTTCCTCAGTTAGAAAGTTTGTATTCAATTATTAATTACAGTGAGGTTGCAGGTGGTTTAGACACCCATAAAATCCTCTGAAGAGTTGTTACCCCCTCTTCTCTCCACTTGCCTTTGCATTTGCCCAAGCAGGAGCTCCACACCTGTGGCAGAGGCTGTGTCACTGCTGGGGATGGCTCAGGAGGGTGCTGGGAATGCCCCAGGAGCTGCAGAGGAGGCTGGAGAAGACTAAAGCCAAACTCAAGGTCCACTGCTGGGGCAGGGAGGGAAGCTCAGTCCTCCAGAGCCTTGTGGGGCCTTTCCAGGCCTTCAAACACCCAACATGCACTGATAAGGTCTATGAAGAACAGCTAGCAGAGGCATCTACTAATGCTTCTGGAGAGAGGAATAAATAGCTAAGGGAAAGGAGGAGCAACTGTGTGCCTCAGACAAGCCTGAAAAGGGAGCTCAGGGTTGGCACATAAGGTTTTGTGTGCCAGGAGATGCTGGTTGGAAAAAGTCATTAGCTCAGTTCTCCCTTAATTACAGTTGTGTGCCTTTAACCGGTGCCCAGGAGCTGGTGTGAGCCTGGTGGCCCCAAGGGTCTGTGCCCTGGGACGTGGACAGGGAGGGCAGGAGAACCTGGGGGTGATGCAAAGCCCACAGAAGAGGACTCTGGCTGCTGTGTGTCAGGCATTTTCTCCCTGCAGAGCCCTGCCAGGGCTAGTGACAGTGGCACTAGAACCCAGTGGGGCCATGCCCAGCTGTCTGTGCCACCATCTGCCCTGTGCAAGGCCAGCAGACCCCATGTCCTGCAGACCATTTCTTCTAAACCAGCACTTTCCGCACATTAAATCTGTTTCCTTCTCCTTTCTCCTTTCAGAGAAGTCGTGCAGACATGAGTTAATCTTCAGAGAAACCTATTTCCACCTTTCTTCCCCTCTGAGAAGGCCTGGATTGCTTCATCCCCCAAGCCACAGCCACATCCCCTCCTGGGCTCCCATTCAGCATCATCCTATGCTGGCTCCCACCAGGACCTCACCTCTTCCTCACACACAGCTGCCTTCCCAGGGAGCAGATCCCTGCATGGAAGGGGCTGATGTCCAGCAGTGCCCCATGGTGCTGCCACTGGGATCTGTGCCACCTGCCCCTCCTCCCTGGCATCCTCCCTGACACTCCTGGGGCTGTGCTAGGACCTGTCCCATCTCCCTGCAGGAGATGTCTGGGCACTGATGGCCACACGCCTCCATCCCCCAGCTCTCATTTCAATCCCAGTGCTGGTGTGGGAGACAGAGGCAAACAGGGGCTCAGACATGTTCAGACCCAGACTCTCCTCACACACCCCACTGCCCCTGCCTCCTTTCTCTCCCTTCCGTGAAGTCTGCTGAACCCACCAAAAGCACCTCTGACATCTGCTCTGGAGTCCCTTCTGCGTCAGTCCAGTGTGGCTTCTTCTGCCTGATTCCCATGCCATGCCATGCCATGCCATGCCATGCCATCCCATCCCATCCCATGCCATCCCATGCCATGCCATGCCATGCCATCCCATGCCATGCCATCCCATGCCATCCCATGCCATCCCATCCCATCCCATCCCATCCCATCCCAGTCCATCCCATTGTGCTTTCCTGCCTAACCCAGCGCTGTGTGTGGCCAAGGTGGCTGGGGAGGTCAGTTTGGCTGGGACTCCATCACTGGCCTTTGACACTGGGCAGGCCAATTAAACCCCCTGAGGTGTGTCCCTGCCCAGGGACTGTGGCTTGACTCTCCTGTTAGAAACAGATGAGCACTGGACTGGATGTACTGTCTGTATGGGAAGATGGCTTTACTCTGCTTTCAGTTCCTAGAAGCTCCCTTGCTGCGTCATGGCTCTTCCATAGAATGCAGAACTGCTCCTCAAACCTTTCTACCCACTGCTGGATGTGTCCCAAAAATAAACGAGAGAAAGTCCCTTGACCCTTCTTAGTACACGTCTGAATTTTCGGAAATGCAGCCTGAGTGGGGGGCAGGCAGAGGATAAAAGACGGCTGGAGCCAGAGCCAGAGCCAGAGCCAGAGCCAGAGCCAGAGCCAGAGCCAGAGCCAGAGCCACGGGGCAGGCACGAGGAAGGGCCACCACACAGCCACCACCCAGCCACCATGCTCCCTGCAAGGACTGTCCTGCTGCTCACCCTGCTCCTCACCTTCTCCCTGCACCACGCCACAGGTAAGGAACCTCAGGGGCTGCTGCTGCAGGCGAGGGATCCGAGCCCCCCGGGGACATCCCACTGGGGAGGTGAGGCAGGAAACGGCCGGGGAGCAGGAATGGTGCTGCTAACAGGAGTGGGAATGGTGCTGCTGACAGGAGAGGGAATGGTGCTGCTGACAGGAGTGGGAATGGTGCTGCTGACAGGAGTGGGAATGGTGCTGCTGACAGGAGAGGGAATGGTGCTGCTGACAGGAGAGGGAATGGTGCTGCTGACAGGAGTGGGAATGGTGCTGCTGACAGGAGCAGCACCCCCCTGGTCAGGGCAGGGCAGCACATCCCGGGATGCAGGGATGGATGGAGAAGGTGCTGGGTGGTCTCAGCAAAGCCAGACCTGAGGAGAGGCTGCAGGAGCTTGGAGGAAGCTCTGGCAGTTGTTCCCCAAGTCTCAGCTGGATGAGCAAGAGGTTGGATGGAGGGAGAACATGCAGCTGTTTGCAGCCTTCCAAAACACCCTGCAAGTCGTGCTCCTGTCTTGGAAAGCCCCAAAGCCTGATCCCCAGACTGAGCACCCCAGACTGAGCACCCCAAACTGAGCACCCCAGCCTTACCGTGTGCTCTGGGGGCTGCAGCAATTCGGGCTGTGAGGGGCCAGGTCCCAGGCTGTCCCCTGCCCCACCTCTGTCCTGTGTGAAGGGTGACAAACCCCTGTCGTAGGATGCTATGGGAGCTGCTGCGATGCTCCACAGCCTCTGTGCTGTGTTCCAGACCCATGGTCTGGTGATGCAATGCACAACATCCCCCGTTCCCTCCACAGCCCACTTTGCACCGGTGGAATGCTGCTTTAAGTACGCACAGAAACGCATCCGGCACCCTCAGAGCTTCTACGAGACATCCAAAGACTGCCCCAAACGTGCAGTTGTGTGAGTATCCCAGGGTTTGTTTCCCTTCCCAGATCTGAGATCCCAGATTTTGCTCCCCCATCCCATCCTGCCCCACAGGCAGCACAGTCCCAGCCGGGAGGGGGGCTCTGGTAGGAAGGCAGCTCTAGGGGGTGGGAAAAAAGGGGGAAAATGGTTTTAGTGCTTTCTGCTCATGGTCTGGGAAGGCTCAGACACTCACCCACCATCAGCCCAAGGAGGGCACAGGCTGCTGGAGATGGCTCCAAGCCTCGATCCTGGACAGGGCTGCAAAAAGGGAGGGGAGAAATAGTACCCAGGAAGGGAATGGCTCATGGTTCCTGTTCTCACTCTTTTTTCCTCACTTTCTCATTGCAGAATTGTGTCTGCCAATGGTGATCACATCTGTGCTGACCCCGAGAAGGACTGGGTGAATAAAACCATAAAACGGCTTCAAAAGCAAAAATTAAACCCATCCACCATCTGATTTCCCCATCCAGTCTTCCTGTCTCTCGAGGGAGCCAAAGTGCTGGTAGCTGCTCTCCAGCAGCTGCTGTGGCCGTGGGCACCGTCCCTGCAGGCGGAGCCCCCCTGAACCCCGGCAGGATCAGGTGCCACCGAGCCATGGACCTGCCAGCAGCTCCTGCTGCCACTGCCCCGCCAAGATGTGCTTGTGAAACAAATATTTATAATAAAGACTCATTGCCACAAGTTGCTGTTTGAATTTCTCCTGATTCTCCAAACCAAGCAGCAGATCCTAACAAACCCAGGGCTTGCCACAAGCAAAAAAATGCCTCTGCCACAGGCTTGCAGTTCTCCAGGAGCAAACTGTGCCTGGTCACAGTGTGCTTCACTGGGAATGTGACAGTGGAGCCAGGCCTTGACCCATGGGTGCAGGAGCCCTTGGTGAGGTTACCCTCACCCCAGGCAAAGCTGTACATCCTCAGGGCATGCTTGCAGCCCCATGGGCTTTGCAGGTGCTCCAGAATTAAGGGGAGGGTTCTGGGAAAAGATACTGAACTACCAAACCCTTAGTACCTTGACAGCTTCCAAATGTGCTGGTGGTCACTGCAAAGTGTCTGAGGGAGATAAGGAACAATGTCCCCAGTGCCAGGAGGATGAGGACACAACCCCTTCAGCTGGACAGAGGTGTCCTGGCTGCCTGTCCCTCCGCAGGGCCAGGGAAGGGTGGGAGCAGCGTGGGATCCCAGATAATAAAACCAGGCTGCTGACCCAGCTTCTCATGGCAGAGGTGCAAACGTACAAGGGAAACCTGAGAAAGGCAAAAGCAAAGAATGGGGCAAATGATCCTCAGCCTAAAGTTTCCTCAGTGCTTTATGCTCATGGCTAGAAAACACTTCAGGGCTGTATTCTCTAGGATACTGAATGGCACAGGATAAACATCCCTAATTACATTTTTGCCCATGAACTGTAAGCACATGAGAGGACACAGTGGTGGAAGGGGAAGCTGAAGCAGAATCAGATACTGGGGGACAAACACCTCGAGGACTGTGCATCCCCTGCCAGAGGGGACACAGCCATCCCTGATGAGCAGAGACTGACAAAGCACACAGCTCCACACTGGCTCTTGCACATGGATGTGTATTTTAATAAAAATAATTCTGTCAATATACAGCAGAATGTCGATTTCTTTACCATATTTCCAGTATATTTTCATAGGCTTTTTCTCCGTTAAAATCCACCCCCCCAGCCCCTTTTTTGAAGTTTTCATGCGAAGCATCAGATAACTTAATTCACAAATACTAAGCGTAGACTGAACCAATGTGCACAGTTTGTGTAATGTCCACGTAGCCAATGTTGTACCAAAGAGGTGAAACTCCCTTCCAAAGGCCAGGAGAAGCCTGGAGTGGCACAGGGAGCTGTGCCCAGCGGTGGCTGCTCCTCCAGGGCTGCCAGGAAACCTGCGGAGACCTCGCAGCCCGTGCTCCAGCTGAGCATTTCATACCTGAGTTTTGAGCAACCAGCAGGAGAGGAGAGTTCACTGCGTGCTGGGCAGGTCCTGGGCTTGCACTGCTGTGTGTGAGAGCTTCAGGGGCTGCAGCCTCCTCCTGCCTCCCCTGCTGCACAGGTGGGACCGAGACACGATCCCAGTCCAATGCCGGTGCAGTCCTTGGTCTGGAAGTCACCATAATTGTGGTTTTTGAATTTTCTTTAAAATCTTGATTATCCCCAGAGCTGCTGCTGCTTCTCCTTTCTCCAAGTCTAAGCCTGTGAGAAGCCCAGCATATAAAAATCCCTCTGTGCTCCCTTCTGGAGGAAGGATGTGACTGAAGTCCTCCCGAGCAAAAACATCCAGGCACATGCCTGGACCCAAGTGGAGTGACCAGAGAAAAGTTGTCTGCCTGGCCATGGGACTTTGAGCAAGGAGCAGAGGTTTGCATGGCCTCCAGGAATGTTTCTGTCATGATGTGAGTGCAAATTCCACACAGGACACGTGGGTTTTCTGCGAGCAGGAGAGAGTTAAGTTTCCCTGCTGGAAATAAAAGAGCTGGCAGGACGTGTGTGTGCTCCTCAAGCCTGGATGATGCCCTGGCTTGCTGGGCACTGCTCCAGCTCAAGCTGCAGGCTCTGAGCTCTGGTTTGGGATGTGGGGAGAGGGACAGACATACCAGATTCACTCATCCATCACCTGCCACCTCTTGTTGCAGGGAAGGGTGGTGGAGAGCAGCTCATGCTGTCTGTAGATGTCTCCAGGCTCAGCTCCTCCCTTTTCCTCCCAAATCTGCTGTAGCTCCCCTCACACAGCCCCAGCACTTCCTCCAGCTCTTTGCCCATGCACAGCAGATGGGACAAGGCTCACAGCCAGCTCTGGATCTGACCAAGAACTGCTGGATTGCAGTTCCCTCCATCACTCATCCCTCTGGGGCAGAAGGGTCCCAGCAGCACCCAGCATGTCCCCTGGCACGTCCCCACGCAGAAACAGCTTCCCCTGGCAAGTCCTTCTGCAGAAACACCTTGGTACAGCTGGAGACCCAGCACTTGCTCTCTGCCCCACCACTGAGGCTGCTCTCACACTGGCAGGGCTGGAAGGAAGTTGCTCCTTCTGCAAAGGGGACTCCTGGGAGGACCAGGACCCCTTGTTCCTTCTCCCAGGCTGTGCCCAGCTCCATGGGCCTCACTGCACCCAGGACTGGAGCGTGAGGGACCTCTCTGTCCACCTGCTGCCACAGGACAGTCCAAGTCTGCACTGCTTCTGAAGGGGAGAACTCCCTGATCCCATGTGATGCACCACACGGCTTTGTGGCACTGCACACTGCTCTACAGCCTGGCTGCCACAGGTCACCTTCTCCATCAGCCCAGGACAGCAGAACTCTGCAGGGTGTGTCTGAGCAACACGTGCTGCATGTGAACACAGACAGGCACAAAGCACAGCTGCAATCCAGCCTGGCTTGCTTTGCTGGAGGAGGAGATGGTTCATCATCCCTGATACCCAAGATGGAAAATGACACATTCAATCCCTAGAACTAGCTCCAGCAGCTCTGGTTGCTCCAGTTTTTCAAGGCAGCCTCAAGAACAAAGCTATTTAAAGAATGGTAAAGATGTCTTAATAAAATGTGAAAAACAAGAACATAGCTTGAGGACAGACTGAGATGTCACTGTGAAAAAAGAGAAGGAAGGACATAGGAAGATCCTAGGCGTAGGTAACCATGAGGAATGATACTCCCAGAGGGGCCCATTCTCCATGCCAGCCACAGCTGCATCTCCTGCTGTCCACATCCTGTGGGCAGCAGCACAGTGAGGACCACCAGGATGCTGGAAATAGACATAGGCTCTACCCATCCTTCACCACACACCCCAAGGCACCAAGCTCCAGCTTTGGTTCACAGGGGCTGAGGGAGAGCATCCACCTCCCCTGAAGGGCTGGATGCTGTGCATTGTCCAGGGCCTCGCTGGGAGTGCCTCCCTGTCCTGCTGGCCACACACAAGGGCTCACTCCTGACAGACTCCAGAAGAACGGCACAAGTGCTGCAGCCAGCCCAGCTGCAGGCTGACAGGTGGCAAAAAGGGACTGTCACATGTGGAAGTCCTTTAGGCCAGCAGGGAAGAACAAGCCAGGAAGGGCAGCTGCAGTTGTCACATCTATGCCTGGCACAGACATGAGCCACAGAGCTGCCCTGGACTTGGAGCAACTCCACAGCACCCAGCACTGCAGATACCACCGTGCTCATGCAGTTGGGGGAATACTGGGATTGTAGGAGGCAGGGAAGCAAGAAAGGATTGCTGGTAGCAGTAAGAAGTTTTCCCAAAAGCAGCTGGCTCTGGGAGCACACTGCAGGATGCACAGAAAATAGACTGCTGCCCTCCTTGTTCACAGCAGAGCTTGACTGAGAGCTCTTCCAACCCTCCAACTCTTGAAATAGCTTTGGTTAAATACTTGCTAGGGTAGGCTCATGGAGTAGCAAGAGGAATAATCTGGAACAAGATGGTTCCAAGAGGAACAGGAAGAACAAGATTTGGCTCCCCTGGCACAGGAGAGATATCCACAAACTGGAATGCACCCAGCAGAGTCACTAAGATGGTCAGAGGCTGGAGTACCAGTGTATGAGGTGGATACTCCTCCAAGAAACACTTATCCCAGCTACTCCAGTGCATCTCACTCCAAAGTTCTCCCCATGTATTCTTGATGCTCTCACTCTCAGCTTGTGGGGGCAGCACAAACCCTCATCCACGGGGAGAGAAGCCTGGTGATATAATTCAGCTCCATGAAACTCTCTCCACAGAACCCCTGAAGGACACTTTAGCCAAGGCTCCAGCTCTGGAGTTCCCAAAATACTCCTCTCAAAAGGCCACTTAACAGGCAGGGCATTGGACTCAAATCCAAAGCCCAGGATGTGCAGAAATCAGGTTCCACCAGGTTTGTGAAATGTTTTCCTTCTGACAGGCCTTTGCTGCAGTGCTTAGTGCCAGGAAGGTGGGTGGGGTGTCCAGAGCACAGAGCTGGAGTGTGTTTGCTGCTCTCTGGATCACAGCTGTTTGATGGTGCCTTTGGGCTGATCAGGGGACAGCTGAGATTCTCCGAGTGTGCAGCCACAGCAGAGCTGGAAAAGGTTCAGCTGTCCCAGCAGTGGCATTTCCCAGGTCCTGGGAAGGACAAGCAGCTGGAGAGCCTCTCTGGGGCAGAGGAATGCTGCTTGTGCAGGGTCTAGCTGAGCTCTGGAAAACCTCCCAGCATCTGAAGCCAGCCCAGAGAGCAACCTGTGAGCCAGCCACACACGCTGGAGTCCTGTACAGTGCCCTCAGCACTGCAGCACAGGGCTGTCGCTGAGTCCTGGTCCCCTCACCAGAAATGGGAAACCAGCAGTTTCTCCTACAGGCTCCACAGCAAAACATGGCTGTACTGAAGGACTCTTGGGAGCAGTGACCAGGTTGTTTGAGGCACTTGGAAGAAAAGAACCCAAATCGTTTTTATAAAATAACTTTTGAATTGCCATGTAGCCTCTGGTTAGGTGTACAGCCACATTCAGTGTTACAGACCCCATTTCACTTTAGCTCTGTTTTTAAAAACTACTGCAATAATCCAAGTTTAAGCTAACGTGAACCATCAAAGAGCAGCCAGGGAGATTCAAAGGCAAGAGGCTTTGAAATACAACCTGAGAAAACCACATCAGAAATTCCATCTAGGAATCAGGGGTAGGTTGGGACCTACATCCCACCACAAACACGCTTATCTTTGCCATACTGAGTCACAG